CAGTCGCCGGCTACAAAGCCCAGTTTGCCAACAGGATAGAGTGAGATCCTCAGCTCTCTGCGTGCGCAACTGGTTACGTGTCGCAAATCATTTTTTTTGTTTTTTTTATTACGTAAAATACAGACAAACGGCATTCTTTTCTTGTACCTAACCAAACTCTACACGTAATACAGTACGTATGTAATGTGTATTGCCTAAACTGTGTTTGCTAATCAAGAAAAAGGACTCTCTCTGGTTATTGCGTCCGCCGCTTATTAAGCCCAATTTGGTCTGGGCCCGAGGTGGGCTTAACAACCGGTGACTAATGTATTAATTATTTCCAAGGTAATGTCACAATGAAATTGTAGAATTTTTACAATTTTTTAATATACCTGAAGATGAATTCAATTGGACTGGAAATGAAAGAACTTACTTCTCTTATAATGAATTATTTTCCGCATAAATGGGTTAATTTCACGATCGGTTATAAGCTTGCGAATGCAAAAAAAGACTGACCATTTATATAGCATTTTTTGAAATGCTTAGTATTCTACTGTCTGTTCCGTTTGTTAATATCGCATAAGCGGAACGTGTGGTTTACACAAAAGTATATTTCTACCTGACTTATATTTAATAAGACCTTTTTAACATCACCTTCACGGTAAGATGTATGGCAAAGTTAGCTTATTTGCTCATATTTATCGGTTGAGTAAAACAATTTTGTCATAGAAACCTATTACGGCACTTTATGACAGTAAACTTAATAGCGGAATAGCTAAATATAATTTTAAAGCTTAAATCGTTGCTTGCTTCTAAATATATATGCGATTCCTTAAACTTGGCCTTACTTCCATTTCAGTAACTTCGGGGGAAGTTTTCCAGTTCTGGAAGGGATAATTATTCCACCTTTTTTACTTATTCTGGAATTTTTCCATAACATAATGTATATTAATAAAAATTCTGGTTTTGTTGTACCTTGTAGCATAGGAAATTTATTCGATATAATCTACCTCATAATTTAGCCAAAATTAGTGCCTATTTCGCTCCATAACTTTAGTTAAGAGGGCAGTTTTCCAAACTAAAGTCCTCCTAATAATTAAATCCACTCACTTGGTCAAAATTACCTGTCCTAATATGTGCTAAACTACCAAGTTAAATTTCGCCACGAAATTCGCGTGCAGGACTTGGCGTACTGTATAGTTATATAATACATTTTTCATCTTTTCTAGTCTTTAGGTTTCATATGAACATAGGACTTATTTACTCTAGTCGTGGCTGGCTCGACAAAGTGATGGAAACCTGTGTTTGTGCAAATATTTCCACTCTGAAATGTGAAGTGTAACAGCGTGTGGCTAAAAAACAACACTAAAAGCACAACATATAACGGAAGGAGCAAATGAAAGTGAAAGCTTTGAAAGTTACAAGCAAATCAGACGCATAACTCATATTGCCACTCAACAGGGCATACTTGCCGCCACAAACAGTAAAAGCTCACACGGATGTTTCGAAACTTATGATTTACGCGTAAGCGTTCGTGGCGACAGTTTGCAAGACCTCCGTAGTGAAGCTACCTAAAGAGGGATGCTCAAGGGAGGCGAATAAATGTTTTTTTATAATTTTTAACTAACGTAAAGTTGGACAAGTATGCGGGCATTATGGTGAACCATAAAGTAAAATTAATTACCTCACCAGTATCGGTGACAGCAAAATTTTCCCATTAATTGCCTTTAGGGTGAATCGTCTGCCTTATGGGCTGTGGCTTACCATGGGTGGCGCAGTTCATGGAATATGAACTGAAAGTCTTGCAATTTATTTCCATTAGAAATACTTGCTTAGGTAGAAGGTAACTAGGGGTTATCTTGAGGTATAATATCAATACATATGGGGAAATTCAGGACGCTGGCTTTAAAATACGCGTCTTATTGCCACGCTAAAAATAGCAATTTCTCAAAAACTATTAAATATATTGTTTTGATTGCCGTATGACTTTCAATTTTCTTTCTAAATTCCAACCTTGTAGAGTAGCCGTTGGTGCGGGACACCACCAAAGGCTTTTTTGAAGTCGATGTAAACTACATCCGCGTTGGTATTTTCGTCTAATAACCCAGACCACAGCTCAACTGAATAAAGCATATTGGTCAGACAGGAGTGGGCTCCTCGAAATCCGTGTTGGGAACCGTCAAACAAGTCTTTTTCTTCGAGAAACTTCATGGTGGTCCTTTCGATAATCCTCTCCATAACGTTGCAAAAAATGCAAGTTAGGCTTACTGGTCGATAGTTGTTCGCGCTGGCCCTGGATCCACCCTTATTAATAGGTTATACGTTCGCGAGGTTCTTATCAGATGGGAGGCGGCCTCGATAAAAGGACAACTCGAAAATATGCGTAAGCGGTCTGCAAAGTTCCGAAGCCAGCTCTTACAGTACGTGTGCCGGTATTTGATTTAGTTTGGAGCCGGAGACGTAGCTTAATTAAGCCCAAGAAGTTCCTTGCTCATATCCTATTCTTTGAAATCGAGGTCCTCCATGATTGTGTCGTTACTTCTGCATGGAAATCTGTTGAAGTAAAATGTTTTTCCTCAGTGAAAACAGATACGAAAAACTAACTTAGGTGTTGTGCCTTTTCGGAATTTTCAGTAATTTCTTCGTTTTCTTGACTTCTTAAGATCACGACTGTTTATTTATTAACCTTCTCTGGATGTAGGTAAAGAACACTTTTGGCTTATTTACGGCCTGTTCTATAATTTTTGCCTCATATTCCTTTGGCGATTTGCGAATCCTTCACCCAATCTGTCGTCCCTCCTCGTGGGCATTATAACGATCACGTTTAGGAAGAATCGGTTTCGCATAAGCATTGCTCATTTTCTAAGCTAGAAGTAGCCTAGAAACTATACACAATTGTACGATTTTGAGGCACCTTTTCACCCGTTCTTCCTTTGCCCCTTGGTCTGGAATCTGCAAAATCCTGCCTCTCCTTAAATTAAGCCAAATGAAACGCCCATTGTATAAAGGGAGAAAAAATATAGTCGGCAAGGAACGGGCAGGTCAAACTTCGCGCTTCTAGCACGAATATAATGCAAAGTAGACGGTAAGGCTGGCTTAATCAAGGCCACCAGACGCAGCAACTACAATACTTTGATGATGGAAGCGAGAAGGGTTCCGAAAGGTCAGCTCGAGTATAATTTGGATCACAGGTCCGCTTCCTCTTCATTGTCCGCTTCTTTGGGAGACGATGAACGCGATAACAAGGGGCTAGTATAGCTCCTATCTCCCGCAAACGCGCTTTCAATACGCAATTTCGTCCCATATTTTAACGGATATAGGTGCAAGATTTTGGACTCAGTCCTTGCGCAATTTATCTCCTGACTCCTTACTTTCATCGGACGCAAGGAGGCGTTGTGTGTGCTCAACCAGCTAGGAATACCACTTTTTTTAAACAAGCGCTCACGTTCACCGCTGTTGGCTGTAAGTTGGCCCCACCGCGAGCAACTTAAGTCATGATCCTCAGGCCCGTAATCTATGCATTCCCGTTCTGTGCTAAGAGTTTGCTTAGGCAGACGAATCAGTTACGTGCGCAGGGCGCAGTCATAAACACCTCTAAGGACTGCGAGCCAAACTGCCGAGTGAACACGGATGGTGAAAGCACGACAATTAAAGATTCTGACGTGGATTGCCAAGGCATCGTTAGGTAGACATTCAACGAGCGGTTACGGGACTCACTCATCTTGAAGTTAACTCTCGACCCCCACCAGCAATGATATAGGTAGACTGACATTACCGAAAAAGATAAGCTAGGTTGGAATGACCATTTCTGCTTGATTAGCTTTCATTAGCCAGCCATACTGACCCGAGCCTCAATCCCACGGCCTGTTAATTAAAATCCAACGCTCTATCTATCGTGCCACGAATTCCTTGTCTTGTTTGTTGACAAGCCATAAACGACCCTTCCTGTTGGTGAGATCATTCTGCTAAGCCATAATCACATCCATTAAAAACAACAGAGGAGATCGCGAGAGCTGCTGATTATAATACGAATATGGTCACCCGACCACTGTGTACCATAAATACTACACTCCACCTACCCCATCTGCGACTGTCGCTGACGACAGGTTCGGGTGAGAATCCAAAACTTCAAGCCAAAAGAATTCTTCCAAACACGTTTTCCCTTGTTAAATGTTTCCCGGAATTCGTCATTTTGCTTTCGTTAGCAACATTACCCTTTCTACACAAGAAACCGTCAAGAAAAAACGCCCGATTTGACGATATTCAGTCCTATATGAATGCCCTCTCGTACTTTTCGCTTGCCGTTTTGCATGGCGACCACCCAACCCTACCTATCTACAACTCAAGCAAAATTAACTGCTCACTATACAGAGCTATAAATAGGGATATTCTAGCTCCCCTCTTTCACGTATGTTGCTTCCGCCTACACTTCAGTGGAGGCAAACACAGCCTTCTGGAAACATTGTTTAGCCAATCGGCCTTATTTTTGTCAGTCACTCTAAACTAAAACTAAAGTAAAACTAATAAAGCTAGGGGTTAGGAGTATCTAAGGCGACAAAACAACTTAAGTGTTACCAAAATTGCTCCTAAACCAGAAATCATACAGGAGAGGCCAGGAAAGGCAGCCAAGAGCCGAAACCCTCGTGCATGCGTAATGCAGCTGCATAAGCAAGGTCGAAGCTTCTACTCTAACTAATAGGTGAGGATTTTGTGAGGAATAAGCGGGAACCACTTCATATATAAACACAATACTTTCCGCTCTTCATTTAAAACAGGACTATTTAACCTTAACCTTAACACTTATTTAAACAAGATTAGATGGTCATATTTATTAATGAGGTTTGGCAGATTTGGTTAATTTAGTTGACCCAATTGTGAAAGAACTCGCGGCATTTGGCGGGATTTAAACCCACAGAGGGGGAAGGGTTCTAGGCAAGCCAATGCTCTACTCACTTGAGCTACGAATGCCACGCTTCACACCGCGAGTTTAATCACACTTGGATAGATATTGGCCGCCAACTTTGTCATTCTGGTGGATTCTAGATGATTGCTTAGTAAATCCTGTTTGGGCAGTCAACTTTCTGTTCCGTATTTGTGGATTCCATATGAGCGGCAAAGTTGGGCGGGTAATATCGACCCAAGTCTGGTTAAATTCATGGCGCAAGGTGGGGCGTTTGCAGTTCAGTGGTTAGAGCGTTGGCTTTTGTAGCTCAAGTGGGTAGAGCGTGGCATTCGTAGCTCAAGTGGGTAGAGCGTTGGCTTGCGTACAAGGCCTTCCCTCATATGCGGGTTCGAATCCCGCCGAATGCAGCGGTTTTTTCACAATTGGGTCAACTAAAAAGGGTCACATCTGCCAATAAAGGGAAACTGTCATTTTAAGCTTTTCATTACAAGCTCTCTGGCCTAAGTTACTCCCTTCTTTACGAAG